TGAAAAATCAACTTATTTACTGTTGAAATAGTACATTTAAAAACAAATGAAATTATATAACATGAAATCGAGATTAATTATCATTCAGAGCAGGTGATAGTGCATTTTTAGTGTTCAATATACCTGATTATATCCTTTATCCGATTTGCCTGTGATGCAAACAGAAAAATTTAAAGATACACTATGCTCAAATTTGATATCAGGACTTATTGGTAATTGCTACACAGTCTTTTTGTAAATATAAAATAAACATGTTTTGACTTCACACAAAGTAGATATTTCATGTTAAAAACTCTACACACTATAGGTGGTCACAATATGAATATATAGCGTCGTTAAAAAAACTGGTAGTTTTTTTAAGAAAAGCCCGTTTTTACTTCTTCTGTTAAAGGGAACGCGACTTCCAATTCATAGTTTGTTCATTTTTTCATTCGAATAAGACACATTCGGTGAGAATTTCATAGGTTTTATCAAATTTCTTTGATAAAAATATTTTACTTAAAGATGAGCATAGTATATCTTTAAGTTACATAAACAGATTTTAAATTTTTTTTTTTTCAAAATCTTAAGAAGTTAAGATGGGTTGTTTGGAAAAGATAAAACACCTTTTTTTCTGCTTCTTCGTAATACATGTTATTTTTGTATTTTCTGATCGCAAGATCAATAAATACATAGCTAACATCCACGGTCTAACACAAAATTTCCTAACAGACCTAACAATGCAAAGTAGTTCTCACTCAAAACTGCTTAAAAACCAGCAATTTAAAAGACAGAATAATTTTTAATGTAGGCATTTAAAGAATAACAGTGCATTGATAGTTCGGATTATTCAATAGAAATATGAGGTTACAATCACAAATTTCGCGGATGAATATCATTTTAATCAATGAAAATGCTATTTTTAGCTATGTCGATTACTGAATACTCCAGTGCGTAGTACACAAATAAATCTGACTGCCGAGTAGTGGATTATATACACGTCGGACTGTTTATCGTGAACAAAATACCTCGAAATTGATAAGGATTACAAACACGAAATGGAAATTCTCAATTTAGAATAACAATGTATTTGTTTTCATTCAGGCTACATATTACGTATTACTTCACCGTGGTGCAGGGGTATCGCGCTCGTATCGGGCTCGTTTAGGGTGTGAGAGGCCTAAGGTTCAAATCCTAGTCGAGGCAACTTTTTGTTTGAAGTGTCTTTTTTAGGGAAGTAGCCACGATATGCAACTGTCATAAAAAATGATTTTTGATGCAACTCCAGTCATGCAAAATTCCATATGTATCAATTTCAATTAAACTGTTATAGAAAAAAATATTAAAGCAGTCGCTGTGTAAGATGAATTATAGTATATAAAAATAAACTTATGTAGGAAAATACATACAGATAGTCAGTAAAAGATCAGAAAATACCACAGAGCTTGCAGCCCTTTGATTAATAATACACGTCACACAATTTTTCTCTTCTCAAAATCCATAAACATTGATCGGTATATTTAAAAGTTATATGAATTACCATTTTAATAAGTGTAACTGATTAACTATATCATGATATTTAAACGTCCCGGTTGAATGAACACACGTTCGCGTGACCAATTCAGTTATTCAAAGGAAGTGTACAATACAAATTGTGTAATATTACGTAATACAGGGGTAATAAAAAATTTTCTTTTACACCCTGCTGTTGCAATTTAAATTACTGATGGAAAAGTCGTTTTTGATACCTTAAACAAAGACATGTGTGTGCCCGTTTTGACCATTGTATTATTACTCCCGCACATATTCGTAGATCTGTTAAAAAATAAATTCACGTTTTCAGTTCTTACCGCCTTAAGTCATCCGAAAATTAATATTATTTGGGTGACAGAACATGAAATCGCATCTATTAAAGCCTTAAAGTATGATAAACTGTAGACATCGTTATTGCTTTTTGCCCTACGCAGAATGCGCATGCGCGAAATGCAACGTTCGTTGCTATGGAAAATCGTACTGTAAAAAGGTCTATAAAAGTGTAAACAATTTTTAAAAAAACACAAATCAACACCTTCAAAACCATTTAGAACAAATCCTCTATATCATAAGATTAACAATAATTAACATGTTTGATGTACAGGGGATGTTTAGTAAAAAATCACAAACATCAAAAAGCAACAATATACAGAATAATACAAAGAACATAACAATATTTTAAGCATATTTTGTGTTTTGATTAAAAGATTTTCCATAAAAACCAGTTTTGTTCTATAACGAAAAAGAAAAGAAATGATCGATGGATATTACTTATAAAACATAGTGCTTAGTAAGGTAAGTCAAATGTGGTGAAGATATACATTGATAAGTTTTGATATCTTTGTCACTTTCTAAATTAATAAATGCAATATTTATAACTATATTGATCTTTTCAAATATTTTTAGATATGGAAACAAGTCTACGTGATGAAACACATAGTCGTAACAATGAAATTCTAAGGTTTCCAACATTAATACAATTAAAAATTTCTGAAGTTAAAAATCTGTCGTTAAACACAATATTTATCTGACCTATGTTGTCAATTATTCAGATCGTTATAGTGGCTGTTGGGGTGGTCACACCATTAAACACAAGATCATGCTCTGGTTGAGTCGTGCAACTTAGAAAACTAATTTTGAACAAATAAGTCATTTTCACTTTGATAAAATATATTCATTTCCTTAACTGCATCATAACACCAAAGTGACTGTCACAAATCTCTTAATCTTTTACTCATGTTAAGTTTTATATCTAATTATCTGTACAATAAATCATAAATTATTCTGGTTCTTTTTTTCAAGCTGTATCTTTTTAGCAAATATTTTATGTAACCCATTAAATTATTTTACATTTTAAACTTATAACTCCCTTCTTGTTTCCTCTGAGTTTGCACTCTAATGCCAAACTGCATTAAACAAAAATTCAAATGTACTCTTATTTACAAAAATCATAAACACTTCTTACCTCTTAAGCATGGTTCATTGATTCTTTTATTTCCTCCAGTCATGAAGAGCAGAACATTAAATATATACAACATGTACAATCATCTCTTAACAGTATTGCAATTAACAACAATTAACATTTTGATGTATAGTGCATGTATTGTGAAATGAAACAAAACACAACAATACAGAACAATACAAGGAAATTTACAATATTGTAAGCATATGTGGCGTTTTGATTTAAAGTTTGTCCATAAAAACAGCCTTGTCCGAAAACGAAAAAGAAAAAAATGATTGATGGATATTACAAGTGTACCAATAGCACAACACCGCTGCTGTTATAAGTCAATGTCACTAATATTACTTGATCCAAAACTGTCATGTCGAAATCGAAACACAATACGTTTACGTAAGATTGTATCTTGATAGGATACTTAGAGAGTAGCAAGTTTTTAATATGATTTTGTTATATATTTGACCATTATTAAACATTTATAGTTTTGTTTTAAATGAAAAGGTATTTTAAACACATATTATCAGAATAAATGTACATTTGTACATACATGTATTTACATAATCACTTATATCACGCCCAACACATTGTAAATGTTTTAAAATTTTATACTGGACCTCACATTGATTTTATAGCGGCATTCAATTAATTTAAATCATAAAACTAACTAGTCAAAAGCCTGAGCAAATACTATAAATCATCATAAAGTTTTTATTATGAATAATAAATATTGCATATTTAAAAAATGTATATCTATTTATGCCGGATATTGTTTCTAAATATGCTATCAAATAGTGATTAATACTGATGTCTGCGTGATATTTGATGGGCCATTTAAGCTATGAAGTTATATAGTATATATCAAAATGTGTCCTGTTTAAAAATATGTCAAAGCTTTCCATGTAACAAAGTAGTTGACATAGACATGTATAATAAAATAAGTAGAAAAGAAAAGTATATATAATGCAAATAATCTTCTCAAACATTGATTTGCTTAAACAGAACCGAAGCGCGCACATATGTATTTTTACATCGTAAACGGTTACCTGACGTTTGTGCATTTAATTTTGTTTTATGGCATATCAAATTCAAAAATTAGGTACACAGCTATTATTACTTGATATCTGAATTTCATTTTATTGCGCAACGTTCATGTAGTTTAACGTTTTACGTCATCTCTTTGTGCACCTACTACAAGCGCTACTTTGAATTGTTTGAAACAGTCTTAAAGGGTATCAGAGCCATATCTTATGATTTGTTTTAACAAAGTTTATCAACAGTCAAATAATATTGCTTCCAAAATATCGAAAGAGTTGTAACATGGAATTGCTCTGTTATTTACCGCACACATATATTTTATGAAAACAGAAAAAAAAGTGTCGGATTTATTTGAGAGCAATTAATTATCTTAATTCTTTGATACAAGCAATTTGAGCGTATTCTTTTTTCACAGTCAAACAATTTTTTTCGGCAGATATAATTTAATACACGTTAAGATGTTGGGTTTTCTAATAGACTTGTTGTCATTTTGCGTTATTATAAATTCGTTATAGAAGTTGTTGACGTAATATATGCGAGAATATAGCCTTGCTGACATAAATATAACCCTCGACTAGCGCCTCGGATCATGTTTATGTTATTCAGGCTATATTCTCCAATATGCCCCGTCCGTAACTTGTATAACTTATTATATACATTAGCATCTGCTTTAAAAAGACACGAACATAACAATAAAGATATACTATGCTCATCTATAAGTAAATATAAATATAGGAAATTCTAAAAAATGTACTGAGTGTGTCTTATTTGAATAAGAGAATGCATAAACTATATTTGGGACGTTGACTAGTCAAGTCAATCTGTTGAATTGTTTTTCAACTGCCTGTTTTTGTTGAAAGGATGTATTTATACTGTGTTAAACTTACATTATACTTAGCGAATTGTAAATGGTATTTTAAAAGATTTTTATGGTGACATATTCATGAAAAAATATTTATTAATGTTTGTGCTTTTAAAAAAAAAACACACACAAAAAAAGCCTTTATTATAAAAAGACTGCTCCAATCTTTTTAATAATTGTACGTTACTTTTACATTGTGATTAATATTTAGAGAAATTTACATTGGTCACATTGTTTGTCGTAAAATATAAACGTATGAAAAGTTAATTTGATTTGTGCCTGTTCACTCTTACCATTACAATTCGCTATTTTTGAACATATTTGATAAGTTTAGAATATCTCCAATTCAGCTATATTATTATTTAATTAACATATAACAATCTGATTACAAGACAATACTTCATTTAAACAGCAATATAAAAATCAAAATAGGGTATATGTGAATGTTATCATTACTATTTTTTTCCAATACAAAGCAAGTAAATATTTTATACGAATAATTAATTAAGAATCCTTTATTAAAGAAACAAAATCTGTTCTAAGGTCAATTATGGTTTGTTCTTTATATAACATATTTTTTTCTTCTTCATTTTCAAGCATATCATCATCTAAATCATGTTATTATGCAAGCAGGTATTTTATGTTTTTCATCATGTCTGAGGTCACCTCCATCTGTAATTAAGATCAAGTCTTGTTTGTTCTTTAGATGCCAGATTGTTTTCTTCTTCAATTTCGGGAATATCTTGACCTAGGAAACTGTCGTTTGCTGTAGGTTCGATAGCAGACAAGTCGTGTTCCTCATCATTTGTTGGTATATCAACAAAAAAATAGTGGAGTTTAGCAAGCAAATTTTTTTGTTTTCTATCATTTTCGACAACATCTCTATCTGGATTAAGATCAATGCTGGTTTGTCCTTTAGAGGAGAGACCGTTTTTTTCTTCAATTTTGGGCACAGTTTGACAGTGAGAATTGTCGTTTTCTTTAGTTTCGTTTGAAGTCATGTCATTTGCTTCAGAAATAACCTCTTCCTCCTTATGATCTTCTATTCCATTATACCCTAGACTTTGTATTTCGTCTTCTTTCCTAAAAGATTTTTGAATAAAAACTCATTATAACAACTGAAATGTTGTCATGACTTCTGTCAGCATTTAAACAAAATTGGTCTTGCAACTCTGGGTTAAAAAAAAACTGTTGAATATTTGGTTTTTGGTAAGTGTTAAAAAATAACTGAGAGATAGAATTATAGGAAACATTATTTTTGTGCGATAATTACTATCAAATATATGAAAAACAAGATCAACAAGGAAGGGCGGCGTTCAATGAACGCAACCCCGACAGGAAAACTGTGAAATTATATTTTGATACTTTTCGCTGTGAAATTATCAAATATGATTTTAGTGGATAAACCCATTCAAAAGCATAAAAAAAAATTTTTCAACTTATTCAATAAATACTGTATTGAACCTACAATATTCAAAATATTTTTTTCTTATATTATCTTTCTTTTTGCTTTTACCTTTCAATATCCACTAGCATAATTATTCAAGTATCTTTTTTAGAAGCATTTCTAAATATTCTATAGTAGTAGCAGTGAAAAAGTGATTACAAATCTAAATCTTATTTTTCAATTTAGAAAAAGACTTAACAAATGCTTTAAAATAGTTTTGAAAAATCATTGGAACGTTCCAATGGCCGTAGAAAACACGTCTACGGATTAAAAATACCTTTTAAACAAACTGGCTGTTTGTCTTATTTGATTTTTCATTGGAGTGTCTATTATGACCTAATGATTATATAATTATTTATTACAATAATTAATTTATAAAAGATTCATTGAGCAAACTTACTTTTTTTGGTGACGTAAGTAAATGAAATATATAGCTGATGCAAAAATCAGTAAAAAGGCAGGTACAATTACTGCAACCACAATTACAGCATTGCTTCTTTCTTCATCTGCAAAATAACATTTAATCGTTTCCATTCCCTTGTGTGAAACTGCCTTAATCAATTAAAGAATTGTATTTGCGCTTTAACCGCTATCTCAATCATTAGTCAGTGCATGAGTCAGTAACTGAGTAGCTAGCTTGTTTTTTTTTATCTGTTTTAACCCGATTTTAAATTGTTTAGGGCATATATCGGAGATCATATCACCTAACCAGATAACTTACCAATAACAAGAAATAAATTCATAGTATTGCAAGGAAGACATGAATGAAATTAAATCTTGTGAGTTCTTAGTTTGTATTAAAGTAATGTGTTAAGTTTCCTTACCTAGTAAGGAAATTATGTTAATACAACAGATAATCAAAAGAAATATGTTAATACAACAGATAATCAAAAGATGAAAATGCATAACTAATGTTTCAACTTTTCAAAGAAATAAAGAACTTATAGTGAAAAAGAACTTACTGCGTCAAAACATTAACCAGAAATTTGGACGCAGTCACAGACTTTAGGTGAGTAGGACAACTCTCACTATATTCCTAATGATGTGTATAATCTCCAAACAGCCTTCTTTTTTTCTTATTTCGAGTTTCATAAAAATATTTTTAGTAATTTTTGAGTTAATACAAACGTTGTTATATTTGTTATATTTTAGGTCAATATGTTGCCACAGCTACCAAAATTTCCATAGGAAGACAAACAAGAGGGCCATGATGGCCCTGAGGTCGCTCACCTGTATATATAGCCCCCCCCCGGGCCAATTTTTACCCAAGGGCTTTTATTTGTTTATTTGAACAGGCTTGGTAGACACCCATAAGAAGATGTTTCATGCTAAACATCTAAGTTCTAGCTCATTGGGTTTTTTAAAAGAAGATTTTTTAAGTTTTTACTATACACATATAGTTAAAAACAATAACACCCCTGGGGCAGGGCCAGTTTTGACCTCCGGGCTTTTATTTGAACAAACTTTGACTAAAAGATGTTTCATGCTTAATATCTAAACTCTAGCTATTTGGGTTTTTTCAAAGAAGATTTTTAAGTTTTTGCTATACACAAAAAAGTAAAATCAATGACCCCCGGGGCAGGGCCAATTTTGACCCCGGGGCTTTTATTTTAACAAACTTTGTAGACACTGATTAGAAGATGTTTCATGCTTAATATCTAAACTCTAGCTATATTGGTTTTTTCAAAGAAGATTTTTAAGTTTTTGCCATACACATATAAGGAAAATCAATGACCCCCGGGGCGGGGCCAATTTTGACCCCAGGGCTTTTATTTGAACAAATTTGGTAGACACCCATTAGAACATGTTTCATGCTAAATATCTTAGCTCTAGCTCTTTGGGTTCTTTAAAAGAAGATTTTTTAAGTTTTTACTATATGCAAATAGGGAAAATAAATGACCCCCTGGGGCGGGGCCAATTTTGACCCCAGGGCTTTTATTTGAACAAACTTGGTAGACACTCACAAGAAGATGTTTCATGCCAAATATCTTAGCTCTAGCTCTTTGGGTTCTTTAAAAGAAGATTTTTTAAGTTTTTACTATATGCATATAGGGAAAATCTATGACCCCCTGGGGCGGGGCCAATTTTGATCCCAGGGCTTTTATTTGAACAAATTTGGTAGACACTCACTAGAAGATGTTTCATGCCAAATATCTTAGCTCTAGCTCTTTGGGTTCTTTAAAAGAAGAATTTTTAAGTTTTTACTATATGCATATAGGGAAAATCAATGACCCCCTGGGGCGGGGCTAATTTTGACCCCAGGGCTTTTATTTGAACAAACTTGGTAGACACTCACTAGAAGATGTTTCATGCCAAATATCTAAGCTCTAGCTCTTAGGGTTGTTTAAAAGAGGATATTTAAAGATTTTACTTTCGGTTGCCATGGCAACCAGAGTTCTGCATGGAATTAAATTCTTTGAACAATTTTTAAAGGTGACCACCAAATGAACATTCCTGTGAAGTTTGGATGAAATTGGCTCAGTGGTTTATGAGGAGATGTCATTTAAAGCAAAAGTTTACGGACGACGGACGGACGCCGGACGAAAAGCGATCACAAAAGCTCACCCTGTCACTTTGTGACAGGTGAGCTAAAAACGTGCATTATCTTCTGACTGACATCTGCACATATTTCAAGTTTCATAAAAATATTAACAGTACTTTTTGTGTTAAAATGGGATCTTGTTTTTTTGTTAATTTGCCATATTTTAAGTATATAGTATATTTGCTGGTGTAGCAAAGTTTTTTTCAAAATGGGAAGAAAAAAATGACGTGCATAATCTCGAGACTTCCATCTATCCATATATCAAGTTTCTTAAAAATATTTTCAGTTCAGTTATCAAGGGATCAAGTTTTGTGGACGAACAGACGGACGGAGGGTAAACCTAAAGTCCCATCCGATTACACCGGTAGGGGAGTAATGACCAATATATCAGCAAGCGACCGGAGAGGCACAAGGGTCGTTACACTCAACGTCTGGATTTCAAATCCAATTATCTCCCTATTTACCTAAGCTGACGGTCATCGATTCTTGAGTAGAACAGTATTCTTATAGTTATGAAGCAGAATAAAAGTTTAATTATATAAGAATATTCAGTACAAGTACGATCTAAATATTTAAAAGTCTCAAAATAAACTCATGCCATCAACTAATAATATTTAATAATTTAACTGATATCAGGACGTTTTGTTGCAGTTTTAAAAAACCCTAAATTAATCTATGAAATAACATTTTCTCAACTTTGAGACATGAGTCTTGTTCATAATTACAATTATTTTCGATATTTAACGTCATTAATTATTCAGCAATGTGCAAAAAGATTTTAATTCCACAACAATCTATAAAATAGAAATAAAGTCAATACTACCTTGATCCTCCATCATGTATTTTCCAACGGTATGATACGACTCTATTTTTTCATTCCCATAATCCGCAACAACTTTCAGATAGCAATTTCCATTGTTACTAGCCTTTGCGGAAATTACCTCTGAGTACTGTATTTGCTGATCATTCCCACAATCAGAACTATTCGAACAACTTGTAGTTGTGTTGTGGATTTTTGGGGTGATTTCTTTCTCGCGCTTGTTACGTCCCTACAATAAATGAACGATTTTTCATGTCTTGAATATCTATAACATTTTATAGTTTCTTATGGATATTTACTTCTTTTGCAATTACAAAAACTATATACATTTAAATCCTTAATCTGCTTGCGACAATTGATTTCACCAACTCGTCCAGTACAGACTACGATCAGTCGGCACATCCGTGCTTTCTGATTACACATTATCAAAACATAAATATATATAGGCAGATACTAGATACTATTACAGAAACAGATCTCACCAACTAATTTAATTTGAAGCCATTAAAACTAATATTAGTAGATTTTTACACATATCACACCCCAAAATAGATCATTCTACCATTAGGGGAAAGTACGGTGGCACAAAAGGTAACATGTGTGTGTGTGTGTGTGTGTGTTTTTATTTATCTCGCGGCCACGAGATACTATGTCGTGGCCACGAGTTACTAAGTCTTGGCCACGAGATAGCTAAGTCGTGGCCACGAGATACTACGTCGTGGCCACGAGTTACTAAGATATAGGCTATCTACTGTCCATGGGCAATGACCCAACCAAATAAAATAAACCAGGACTTATTCCTTCTCATGTTATTGTATAAACAAGGTTAACAGGTCGTAGTACGTACAAACTGACCAATTCGATCACAAAATTGTCCCAACAAAGGACTATAGTCAAAATTAATGTCTGATTGGCCTTGGAAGGTGACATTCTAATATAATCCTAAAGACTAGTTCAAAGTAAATATCTTCAGTATTTTCAAAGATTAATGTTGCATGTAAAAGTAAGATGTTAACTTTAAAAAATCATAATAAATATAGTGTATTCTGATTGGTTAATTATCGCATGACTTAGATATCTCGTTCCCACAATTTAGTAACTTGGGTCCACGAAATAGTATCTCGTGGCCACGACTTAGCTATCTCGTGGCCACGACTTATTAACTCGTGGCCACGACGAGATAAATTAAAACAACACATGTCACCTTTATGCCACCGTATGAAAGAGAAGCTTCCGTTATGAAACTTCACGAGCATCTGACATTTGTATGGTAATGAACAAAAAAGGAAGAGCAATATTCGAGCAACACACAATCCCCACCCCCTTCTGCGCCCGACTATACATGGTCAAATTTAAAATATTGAAGGCTAGACTATATAAAGTTTATCGATACATATTTTCAAAATGCTAGAAAGAAAACAAGATAACTGAAATACTGATAATCCAATTAAAAAGAAACTTATTGTTTTTCATTATTCATCTGTAAACTTATACATTGTACAACTGAAAGTTTTCATTGAAATATAACATATATATCTATCTAAACACTAATCGATGACATATGGCAAATTGCACTACTATTATTTATTTTGTATTTGAACTTAGTTTTTGTAAATTTAAATATTTCAATGTAACTATTCAAATTATTTATTTTCTTAATGCGTATTAATACACCCGGATTTTGTCAGACTCATTGACACTTGTCTTTCCCTAGTAGTTACTATACTTATAAGATTTATTCTGTGTAATTAACGGTAATGTATATAAAATAACCTTTACATTTTATCACTTATGAAACAGGAAATATTCATTTAAATTAGTTGATAAATTGATAAACATATATTTAGATATACAGACATAATTCATATTCATTAAATGTGTTAACTTTTATAAACCTTTGTGTTGTTCTTGAAAGCGTTGGCTACATTACATCTTACAGTTAATTACGAGTACAATATTTAAATAATATCATTTGGCAATTCTTAATAACTCGAATCCATTCTGTCAACATAGAATATAAGAATCTTACACTGGCTGTCGGTACAGACCGGAATATCGAGAGCTAGATATCCCTGTCCGTACCGATAGCCAGTGTTTGCATATCACATATCAGAACAGAAATTATGAAAACTACGGAGCCCCTAAGGTGACATTTTCCACACCTTTTCCCCCGTAATTACGAAATAACATTTCGTTTTTACGAATTAATATTTCGTAAATACGAATTAATATTTCGTAATTACGAATTAATATTTCGTAAAAAAGAATTATTATTTCGTAAAAACGAATTAATATTTCGTAATTATGAATTTATATTTCATACGAATTATTATTTCGTAAAAACGAAATAATATTTCGTAATTACGGATTATTATTTCGTAAAAACGAATTAATATTGCGTAAAAACGAATTATTGTTTCGTTAAACAAATTATTATTTCGTAATTACGAATTAATATTTCGTAAAAACGAATTAAATGCCGGGAAAAAAGTGTCGAAAATGTCACCTTAGAGGCTCCGTAGAAAACTGATATTCTCATTGCGCACTTTTTTCTTATAGTAGCGTATGAACTTACAACTTCATTCATAACGGTTAAGTGACGTCATCCTAACACAAAAGGCGCGCGTCAATGACGTCATTTAAAGCACGCGACTTGTCTTACATAGAGGTGTGTAAGACAGGGTTTTCCAGCACTGGTGTAAATGGTATCCTGTCTGATATGCAAGAATATACCATCTCAGATAAAGTTATCGCAGTCACGGTTAATGAATATGAACTACTTAAATAAAAATTCTTATTATAGCACTGGCATTATATGACGATGTAAGGAAGAACATACACATATCTTTATCCATTTAAACGAAACTTTCGTGACATTTGAAATACAGCCAGAGATAGCTTGTATGGTCCCAGCTGTTGTATTTTCAAAAATCAGAGGCTCGAAATCTGTAACATATTAAAAAAAATATTGAGACTATGAAAGTCTTATTAATTAATTAATTATTAATTAAAAGTAAACTTATTTCATTTCAATACTAGCTGTAATAAAATTCATGTTAATTATGCAATAAATCATCTTTTGAACAATTATGTAGATCTATTCAGTTTAACTGGCGGAGTAAAAACCTGATTGTAGCTTAAAAAGTCGAAACAAGGCTTTACTACTTAATAAGAAGCATATCCCATCACAACGGTAAAATAGTAAACTCAAACTATAAAGAGTAAAATGCAAGTGGTTAATCAAAATATTTATGCGATAAAGAAAACTGAAGAAACTTCTGCATAAGCCTTGTTTACGTCGCACAGATAAAACAATTGACTTCACAAACATTTTATTCATACGCATCAACTGCATTTCATTAAATTCCTTGTAATTTATAAATACAAAAACAATGTTAAACATTCCAAAAAATTTACTACCCTATCAAATTTAAAACGATTTTTTTCATTGTTGAATATGATTACACAACTCATGCAATTAAAACGTGACCAAAATTCAATTTTTATTCTTTATAGGGAAGAAATGCAACTGTGGAAACATATTTGATTTATAAAAAGATAAACTGGATCGAAATATTCTTAGGAGACAGATCTCATATGAAAAAGATTAATAAGAAGTATTTATTGTCATATTAATATGTGTGTATGTCTAAAGACAAACATAACATAAGATAAGCACAATTTTAATGTTTAAATCATTAATATATGAGAAAAATATACTGTAGTGTAAATAAATAGGTTATGCTCACCTTTGACCCTAATAAGCTGTGAATCAGTACTGGTTCCATCTGAACACACCAACTTTCTTCCATTGTCTTTCATGGTTATATTAATAATTGTTAAATTAAAGATGTGATTTGTCTCATCATATGATATCTTGTATTGACCATTGTATTTAGGGTTAATGTCACATTTGTTTCTTATACACTGAGCAATTGCTGAAATATCGTTTTGATTCATCCAAGCAATGGCAAAAGTTTTATTCTTGAACTTACAAGATAATGTTAGATCTCGGCCACATTCACATGTTTTTCCGTAAGCAAGGCTGTCTGGTTCCAATATATCAACATTTGAAGCTGAATTAAAAACAAACATATCATGTGTAAAAATATAAGTAAAGCAAGCGTGTAAAGATAATTAAGTGAGTGATAAAGACTAATTAATCATTCAAGTAAATTGAATGTTTATAAAAAAAAATTCTAACACTACATTGTTGAGTAGTCCGTTCTTGACCAATTTAATTTTGTAAATGCTTACTAGCAAACACTTACTTAAACATAATACAAAGGGATCTAAAAGGTACCATAAACAGCATTAGAAAGTCGAGGGAATATCATCATTTTCAACAGATTTCAAAATTTTCTCAGTCAACCTCCCACACCTACCCCGTTTACATGCATTTATTCTTTATTCATTTCACAAATGTACATGTAAAACACACAAGTAAATAGTAGTGTAAACAATTTGTTAGAAGTAGCTTACATGCCACTCATAATTTGAGTTATGAGAGACAACTTTAACATTTTTATCACGCGTGCAGTATGCTGGCCGAATCTTCATAAGTACGCATTTATCGCTTGTAGCATTTGTTTCCTATTGCTGTGTCAAAATCTTCCATCGACATGTCAGCCCCCCCCCCTCCCCCCCATCTGTATCCGTCCCTGCTGATAATGAATTTGTTAGGGCCTAATGATAAATGATTAGGATAAAATTAGGACTCGCCAATATGGGCAACCGGTGGCGAGTATAAATAAACTTAGTGACCTTTTGGGGCATCTTTTTGTATATGTATCTTGCACTATCCTCCAAAAATCTAAAATGACTAATACTCTTCTGGAGGACTCGCCAGTTAATGCTTGAATGGGCAGTTCTTATTTATAGACAGGCGATTCCCGCCAATAGCCAGTTCAGAGATGTGAGCTTATCAAGTTTTATCTCTGACCTTTGGATTTAATACAATTTATTAACTACAAAAAAAAATCTAGTCATTCATTATTGAAGAAGTAAATGTTTAAGTTGTTTAAACACCATGATGGTGATTTAACAACTTGTGAAATGTGTTATGCTTTACAGTTGCTATTCTAAGTGTAAGTTTGTGTAACTTGATGGCTTTCATACCTACATATTGTTTACATTGTTTGTTATAAAGTGTTGGCATCTTTGTTCCAGATGTGCTAAGTTACTGCTTCAACATAAAGTCGTAAAGTACCTGGATCACCATGTTGGAGAAGTAGCGACTTAAAGAATTTTCACCGTGTTGGTGATTTAACAAATAGGGTTTTCTGAACAAAAAAAAAGTTTAAGTTCCTAGATCACCATGTTGGTGATATAACCACTTAGAAAATTGTCTATCAAATTACATAATTATGTATAATAATTGTTGAGTTCCTGGATCACCATGAAGGTGAAATATTTCAGTTTGTGAAATAGTGAATGAAAAGTTATTTTTAATTTGGAATAGTGTTAGGAAGTGTATTATTAGTGCCATGTTATTAGGTGAATTTTTAGTGAAGTGTTTAAAAATGAACTTTAGTGAAGTGATAGCTAGTGAACTTATGTGAAGTGTTAATAAGTGCATTATTAGTGGTGAGGTAATATAATAGACAATGATAGTAGATTAAAGTAGCGAGTTATAGTAGATTTACATTACAAAGCGCTACGTGGATATTTCATTCATTTTAAACTGTATCTAGCGATTACCGTATTGTTTTCTGAATAACGTGTTCCGATAAATAGTAACAGTAAACATTTATAGCTACAATATCACAATTCACTATTATATGACCGAGTGAACCGTGTACTGAAATTTTGCAGCTCCTTTAACTTTTGCTAAATTACGCAACGGAGATTTTTTGGCGCAAATAGCACAAATGTTTTTCAAGTTTGATTTTCTTCAAATATTGTGGTTGGAGGCAGTTTTGGAAAATGTAGAGGAAATGTTTTCATATACTTACCAAAACATAAACAGAAAATTTACTTATTGAATTTTACAAGAAAATTTTATTTGATACTACATTTATATATATTTTTTTTGCATAAAAGGCACAATGAATGTTTAATTTTCAATAATTTAACAAAATAGAATTTATTATATATATTGACTATAGTATCATAATGTAAGTATGTTTTACACTTTATTCTTTTTAAATGTTTTGAAAGATTATATGCAGTAGAAATTGACTTTTTTCTTGGGGCATTAATTAGGGATATTTTCTACAAAGGAAACAATTTATGTTATGTCATCAAACTAAATTTAAATAAATTTATTTAAATTTAGTTTGATGGCATAACATAAATTGTTATATATATATAATAAATTCTATTTTGTTAAATTATTGAAAATTAAACATTCATTGTGCCTTTTGTGCAAAAAATATCTCAAAATATTTTCGAATTAAACAAATCTTCCACAACTGCAAAAATACCTCTCGCATGCTTCTTTTATAAGAAACAAACTAATTTGAACCAAGATGAAGGGGAGATTATTTTATGATAGTACAAAGCAAACGTGCCGGACGTCGGCGATGTGACCTAATATTAATTGTACTGTTTTGGGGGTCTGCACTCTCAGTGTCTGAATGGGCGGAAGGACCATCATTTAGCAAATAATACACATACATATTGTATACTTCCTTCTCTCTTCGAAAACTGTACGAGATTATTAAGCACGGACTTCATCATAAACATTGAAACATTGATTTGATTCAAACTATCAAGTAAAACAAGTTAAGCACTTGGTATTGTCCAACAATATTGACCTGCCACTTCATTTACTTTCGTATAGGTCATTTGAATAAACACTGACCAGTATCTATCGAATATATCGATATATTCACTCGTCAGTGAGGTGTGATGTATTGGTATAGATGTCGGACTACCGAATGAAGGTCTCTGGTTCGATTCTTTACCAACACCACGTTTTGATTTTGTTTTTAAATTTACTTGCAATAATTAATTTGAAATCGTTTCACTAAACCTGGTTTTAGAATACCTTTTAAGTGGTGTTTTTAGGCACATTTATATTTTTATTACAATAAAGTATCTTTCAACGGTTCTCTTTGTGACATTATGCAATCTATGCTTTAGCAGCCAGTTATTAAAAGTTTACACAGATAGCACACAGCAAAAAGGTTTGCAATAGTTTTAAGAGAATGGCAATTTTAAAATTAAAATAATAAAGAAAAAAATGCTGAAACAGGATTCGAATCTACCAGTTTACCTCTATATTCTTCAAGTGAACCCCCTTTACCAACCGCGCTATTTTAACACATTCATATTATTTTACAAGTAGACCGTAACGTTTACGGGATATACCGACTACAGGGTCCAATGAAAGAGTGTCAGGTCAATATTGTTGGAACGGTTGGCAAAAAATATGGAGACTAATAAAATGCAAAATATAGAAATTTTATATTTACAAAGTTATTTTTCATAAAACAGTTATATACTTCATATCATTAGAAAGATCTGTAAACTCATATTTTACGCATTCAAAAATAAAATTACAAAGCTCTTTCCTTTTTTCTTAGTAATGAGTTAAACTTGGTGCTAGAAATTGATTTTACTGATTTCTGTCACGACACATAAATAATCTTACCGAAAACTGGACAAATCCAGAGAAAACAATTAAGGATAACACCCTTATCCATTTATAATATCGTACATTACGTGTATAAAGCTATATATATTATATATATCTCCTGAAAGTATAATACTTTTGTCAGAAATGAAACAGATCGAGCGCCTACGCAGAAATAACTTTCTGTTTTGCAATATTTACGCATTGATCACATATGCGAAGGGAGGTTATCACTGTGTTGCCTCATTTTCTAGGAATTCTCATATATCGACCTGTGTTGTATGACGCATTCCCCACCGTAATGAGGGTAAAAATGACTCCGACATAAAGAAGTCCGCGTAGGGTTGACGATTTTATTTTATAAAACACAATATACATTTATCTTTTAAAGTGATTTTAATTGTTTATTGCTTCCAAGGGATCAAAGTTTTCCATATTTTAATTTATAGTTCGACAATGTTACTATTTATTCAAATATTCAAAACTGCTTTCACTTTCGGTTTTAAGACGCGTGTTGATCGGAATTGGGTTTGTAAAAGCACTAAAGGATAAGGAGTGCTTGATGCATGTTTATATTTGTAGTAAATACCACAAGGGCGTTTAAATTGAATTGTTTTTTCGCTTTACAATTACAATTTAGAATTGTTTTCTTCTATCACTTTCGTGTTCAATAGTAGTGCGTTCCCATCATTCACACAGGTCAGTAAGTAAATTTCTGTATTCCGGTAGGTATGCCTAAAATACGAAAGTGACTTTTTTGACGAAAGTGAGCGAAAATGACTTTTGAAATATAAATTATAGCGTTAAAATAAAATTGCAGTTTGTAGACGTATATTATTAGAAATAATTATATTTATTATAAAAAATATTCATAATGATGAATTAATCGCCATTCATTTGCATAGAAATTATGCAAATAAATGACGATTAAATCATCATAATGATTACATGTATTTTTGAAAATAGATATTATCAGTTTCTGATAATATATGTCTTCAAATTGCAATTTTAGTAAAAATCTCAATTATAACGGTATATTTGATATTTTATAAGTCACTTTCGTATTTTTCAATGTAAGCAAAAGGAAGATCTCAGAACTTGTGTATAGAAATTATGCAAATAAATAGCGATTAAATCATCATTATGATTATTTTTTATAATAGATATAATAAATTTCTAATAATATACGTCTACAAACTGCAATTTTATTGTAAAAGTATATATAAAACGCTATAATTCATATTTTAAAAATCACTTTCGTCAAAAAAGTGACTTTCGTATTTTAGGCAAACCCCGATATATACCGGATAAGGCGCTTGAATATGGTGTCGGCCTAGTGAATTTTCGTACTAGGAGACGGCCCACTGAATTTTCGTACTATATATATCCTATAGTAAATCCATCACATCTATGACTAAATTCTGAACACAGCATATCCCGTACAGACATTTGGTGGCTAAAACTTTCAACAACAATACTATCCAACTAAATTTAGCACAAAAAATAATACATTAGCCTTTGGACTTAATTTGTGTAAGCACTATAAAATAAACCAAATAACAACTGGGGTCTAGACTGGCGCATGTTACTTCCTGAAACCTTCCACCAAGAAATGAAATCCTGCAAAGACACACAAATACGATGGCACAAAGGTGACATGTGTGTGTTTTATTTATCTCGTGGCCACGAGATACTATGTCGTGGTCCTGGAATGAGAAATGACATCAAATCTTTTGTTGTTGGGTGTGAGCAATGTCAGAAAAGGAAAGGATCTTTAAAAACAAAGTTAGCACCCATGCAAATAGTGGTTACCCAATGGAAAGGATTGCAATTGATATATTTTGGCGAATTACCAACAACCGAACGTGGTAATAAGTATATTTATGGTCACAGCCGACTATTTTACTAAATGGACGGAATGCTTTGCAATGTGTTATGTGGAAGCACAAACAGTAGCCAGGATCCTTGTAGAAGAGGTTATCACTAGATTTGGTATACTGAATAAAATTCATTCGGACAAGGCAGACAATTTGAAAGTCACCTTTTTAAAGAGATGTGTAAACTTTTACATATTCAGAAAACTTGAACTACACCGTATCACCGGCCTTTGGCGGCATGGGTAGAACGATTTAACAAGACACTTGCGACCATGATAAGTGCTTTTTTTACAGAAAATCAAACTAATTGGGACGAACAGTTACCCTTCCTTTTATGGCCTACAGATCATCAGTTCATGAAACAACTCAATATACACCAAATATGCTTATGTTAGGTCGAGAGACATCGACGCATCTTGATATCTTGTATGAGATGCCTTCTTTCCATCAAATCACTATGTCTGGAAACTGAAAGAAAACTTAGAAAAATTGTCATACCGTAGTTAGGCAAGCAACTGGTAGGTCTGTTTATAACTGTGGTAGATCAGAAGCGATACAATTAGTACATTGTGATAGGATGAGAAAAGAAAAGTCTCAGGTACTACGAGGTGAGAGTACAACTTTTGATAATAGTCAAGATTAGGATGATTCTGCTACAACGAGAAAGATGAAAATTATGAGAGACAGATGACAGTGAAGGACTGCCAAAGATATGAGAATACATTAGAAACAGGTGAAGTTAATATAGACAAAATATTAAGACGAAAACCATTCTGGCATAACGATTATATATTTCTATCTTCAGCTCCAGATGCCGAATACTAAAATAACACCTAGAAAGAATGCACCTTAGTGTGTCCTTACTGTAGAGAGAAAAAGTCTTGATTAAAGATCTTGAGTCACATATCCCAGAGTGTCAGAAGAATCGATTCGAATGTGATGTTTGTGGAGTTTGCCTTAAGGAGGCTAAGTATCTGAAGAAACATATGAAAATACATCATAATGTTCATACTTGTACTTCTGATGAAATAGAAGAGGATGTAAGTGACTGGGATAATGAACCAACTTAAGATATCGATTTAGACTATGTAGATATGGAAGAGAGTCTTGAGAACATTGTGAAAAGTGATACAGGTGATTCAAATGAAAATTTGACAATAACTGAAGAAACCAGTAACCAAGGGGAGGCACATGAGACTAAACAAGTAGATACCGGAAAAGAAAGTCAAGGTATGGAAAGTAAGGTGAGTGAAGTCACAGTAAATAAAGATAAAGTTGTAAAGAGTAAGCCTGGGAATACAGACCCAGGGAAATTTGATCAATTCATAATTGGAAAAGTTACGGGGGAACCAGCTCAGCCAGGTCCAGTGGTAAAACCTGCTAAGAGGAAAGGGGTTATAGATTCAAATTCAAAGAAAATTAAGTCACAAATCAAGAAACTAAAGCTGGATGCTAAATAAATAGGAATTAATGACAAGGGTAGAACCAGTGGTCAAGAAACCAGAGATGAAAGTTTATACACTTGGAAGACCATGTACAACAACACCAAGTAGTGAAAATAAAAGCACGCAGACTGAAGATAGTTCAAAGGAGTCTAAATATGAACATGTGTGTACTCATTGTGACATTCATTTTGGGGATGAGATGTATGTATTTGATACATCTTGGATATACATACAAGGGATGATCCTTATTTATGTAATATTTGTGGATGCTCATGTAAGGATAGGTTTGCGTTCTATACTCATTTAGTAAGGAACCATAACTGAACTATGGACTGTATTTTTGTATACCAGAAAACTTTTATAATTTAAATTTTTACAAGATAGAGAATCACGAAACACACTTCTTGTTCACATTAGTAATTTGTTAACAAACAAATTTCATTGTATTAAAAGAAAAACATTTTTTGTAATGTTTGTTTCTATAGTGTACTTTCCATTCAGGACGCATGAACCCGGAGGCGTGGGTAATGTGACATTTAGCGGTATTTAGCCTATTATTCCTATAACGTATTTACAGAGTTGCTTCCCTTTGAATTTAATATACCATTACAAAGAAAAACAAATATTGTTTAAAACGTTTAGTAAGTATGGTTTGTCATTAAGATATTGTACTAATTTGACTTATTTAAGTAAGGAAATGTTTTATTAGAAACCATTCAACAGTATTAGATCTACAAACATTAATCATATTCAAATAGAAATTATAAGAGTTTAAACGTTAAGTAAAACACCCCTTTTGTGTAACAATAATTAGAAAATGAATTGATCCAATTAATGGAATGACCCATGCCATTTGGACCAATCAGCATTAAGCTGGCAAGGAAGGTTGTATATAAACAACATAGCTGGAAGATCAGAATACTTCTCCAAATCCCTCCAGAGGCGTGCACGTCGCGGAGAAGGCACACGGCAGGTCAAGGTCAAGTCATCTTAAGTACCAGAGGTGATTGGTTGACCTGTCGTGACTAACTCTGGAGGGTTGGCGCTAATGAGAGCCGTTTTTGTTATCGTCAGTATGGAACTTGATGCCTGGCCAGTATTGTCGTACTCCTCTACCACCAACGAACGAAGAATAGGCTTCAGGAAGATTCAGCTTGAAAAAGACGTCCCCGATGTGACTACCCTAGTGGACCGGCACGGATGCTATATTCTCGGACAGATGGTTATACCGGCGCCGAGTATAAATAAACTTAAACTGACTGACTGACTGATCAGAATGGTGTAGAATTTCGAAGACCACAACTAAAGGTAATAATGCTAGAACTTTAGGACAATTATACTACTGAAGCCATATTTTCTCGCGGAAAAAGGAAGTAGGTAGTATAAGATAGCAGCATGGGTCGTAGAAAATGTTATTATCAGTAAGAGTGGTCTGGAGACGGAGCCATAGTTTCATATAGTATATTTATCTGAATAGATTACGAAGCTCTAGGTTACTGACGGGAAGTAATATAAAGTATATGAATGTTTTTCTTGTGCATTTACTTTGATAATTTATGTTTGATTATTTAACCTACCAATTATTTGTAGAATCATTTGTCTCCAATCAATAGGCAGGTAGTCCCAGGAAAATTTATTATTATAATTAAAACATTCAAATATCTATCTAGAGCCAGAGATACAGCTCGGAGAATCGTAACATATTTCAAATAATGCTATATCTATTGATTTCGCCAAAGAATTGTTTTTAAATAAAGTTTTATATCACCGGCTAATGTTATATACTGTACTTATTTTTAGAAAGATTTACACCTTATAGCTACAAAATTGTGTCCATTTCATCTACAGAGAACATGAAATTTTTGGGTTAAAATATCATTGTTCACAATAAAATGTGCT